TCTAGTGTCTTTTTGTCACACTAAGTATATATGTTTTTATTCAACAAGCATATATAAGTATGCTATATTCAATGAGCTGAACAACAGTGTTGTGGGAAATCAATTCCAAAAATTTAAACCAAAAAAAGTTAAACATTTAGAAATAAAATCCACCTAGAACACAATTATTGTGCAGCAGAAATTATTGATTCACAATGCTATATTACAAGTAGATTTACACTGTCTAAACAAATCTGAGTATTTGCAAATGCAGGATTATAAATATTATGCAAAACCTTACACTACTGTTCCAAATGACCAACATTACTGTATTACAATTGGCAAAGAGAAACACACATACACAAATGTTTCTTTACATAAACACTTTACAAAAAATAGAATGATTCGTCAAAAATTCATAACCTACAACCGTCTGCTGACATATACTGTAACAAATACAAGAAATTTCAAACTATGTCAAGCTAGCTAGCTTATCAAACTATAACGGACAATACAGTTTTTAAACTATTTATGGTCTAAGTTACAAATATGGGCTGTACCAGGCATGTGATTGCAGCTCTTTCTTTCGTTCTTTGAGTCTTGGCTTACATGGTGATTTCTCAAAAAGTAATTATTAAAGAAATGTATTATGTTCACACATTACTTCACTTTGTAAGTCTGTAACCAAAATTTGTGAAACATTTTCATGAAAAAAAAAGTATAAAATTATCATCATTGAACACGAGACATATTTCATAAAATACTTATCTAAATGAGAACTGAAATTCTCTTATCTATTACTATAATTAATGTATATATTTAATATATATATATAGTTGTTTACTGCCTGTTTGATTTTTTATTATTATTTAATAATTTTGATAAATGTTCTGTAGTCTGCGACTAATCTTTAACCGCGAGAAACTTTTCCTTAAATAAGAATAGTATAGATAAATAAAATAGTATAAATTGATTTTCAATATTTGGTGCCTCTAAACACCATATATTAATATTTAAGGGAATACAAATTTTAATGAAATTACCATCTTCATCATTCACTGTAATCTTGATATACGATGTATTTCAATTTATTTTGCAACACACTTTCTTCTGCATGTAAATGAGTATTTTAATTATATGCCAAAATATTGAAAATAGTAAACCACGGTAACCTGAAATTCAATCCAACTTAAAAATACTATTAAAAAATCCCATATATATACTATAAAAATATAGTATATATATGGGATTTTTTTAATTGTTATTTTTTTGTTTGGATACAATTTCGGCTTTCTGTGCTTAAACACTGACATAGTTATTGAATTCTCAAATAATTCTTTTATTTAAAATATTTTTTCAGTTGATTTATTTCAGGAATACTTGGTGTTTACAAGTCACATAATTTAAACTGTATCCTAATAATAACAAGCAAAAAAAATGTCTAACGACACATATGCCCCCCTCTCTCCTTGACTTACATTATTGGTAATTTTGTTATAAAAACTTGCAATAAATGGGTACATGGAAGTGTTCAGTATGGAAAAAAGAAGACTTTGTGATAAATAGTTTTCAATAAGCGGAGACCATTTTGACATTTAAGGCCCTGTGACGAGCACCTTTGAACATGTGACCCCAAAAGCAATACGGGTCATCTGCTTGTTATGACCAATAAATATGTGAAATATGAAGACTTTGTGATAATTATCTTTTAAGATAATGAGCTAAAATCATACTATCATACAAAGATAATAAGTGGTAATCATACTTCCATTCAAGGCCCCTGTAACCTTGACCTTTGACCTAGTGACCCAAAAATCAATAGAAGTCATCTACTAGTTATGACCAATCACTATGTGAAATATGAATTTTCAAGATAATAAGCGGAAACCATGTTGTCTACCGACGAGCAGACCGGCATACAGACAGACAGATTGACATTAGCAAAACAATATATCCCCTCTTCTTCGAAGGGCTGCATAATGAATGTGTATTCAATGTTTCGTTTTGCTTTAAACTATAATTAAACTATTCTTCATCTAAATGATGCGTTCACCGCGGAGTATGATAATTGTGAAAATAAGCATTGGTTTAAGTCCACCCGCTTTTAAATGGTGACTGAATGCTAATCTGAATTTGCAGACTCGGTTGATCCCAAAGGACCATAAACACCACCGAAAGGTCTCCACAAATAGAGATACATAAGTTACAAACCTTTCCTGCTGACGGAAATACATCCGCATTGATATTGTTCGAAAGGAGTAAGAATTTGCCGTGCTCCAAACATGACCGACTCGATAGACCAATACTTGTCAGGATTCTACTAATTCCCACCCGGGTGTACTAATTACAGAAAGAAATCTAGCAGACGCAGGTGTGTGCACCTTGGTTTTAATCAGTACTTATTTGATAACGGGCGCATTTAGCTACAGTACCATACGCAAACGATGCATTTTAGAAGGGTAATAAGCTTTAAAAGTCTGAGCTCTGACAAATGAGTCAAAGCGATTATCACTGAGTGAGAAATATGAGTAAAAAAACAACATTTTTTTTTAATAATTATTTATGATCGATGTTAGGAACGGAAAACGAAATGTTGTATCATATATATCATTTTGTTGTACACGAAGCATGATTACAAATTACAATAAAATACCGGTAGCATTTTTTATTTGTTTCTTTTGTTTTTCGGAAAGACTACATATTAGGATTTCATAACTTTTGCTTGTTATTCTGATGACCAGGTATTTGTTGATCTACAGAAATTAAAATGCCCTTGTCGTTTCTTGCTGTATTCCTTTAATATGCACTGTGTGATTTGAATTACTTTAAATGCCGGATGTTTCTGAGAATTTCATTAAAATGTGAATAGTGAAAATAAAGCTTAATTTTCATATTTTTCGTGCCTATTGGAATGATTTATTCCAATTTTTCTATAATGCAGAGAATTAATTAAATACTGCTTAAGTTTGAAGAAAGGGCGAGTAAGGTATGCTGAATATTTTATACTCTAAGATTTGATTATGCCAGTTTTATGTTGTAAGTTTGATTTGGAAATGTTTCTTTCAGTTTATGAAAATTTCATATAATTTTAAACAGAAAATAGTGTCAGTCATGTTGTTCTTTGACGAATCCCGGTAGTACGGATTAAATAGATTTGTAACAGTATGGTATAATATGATATGATAAAGTCAGAATGATATAATCAAAATGAAAACTTTAAGGGTCTCTGAGCACAACAATACTTAAAATGATACTTTTATATTTTGCCATATTTCCTTTTAATTTTGTAATTTACTTTGCTTGAACGATAAATTAATTACGTGGTCCCTGAAAATTTCTTTCCGTCGGAAATTACCTGTAATGTTCATTTTATAAAAAGAGTGGACAGTATTTCTTATATTTTAGGCAGATTTATGTTTTATCCTTAAAATTTTCCAATAACAACTGTTGGTCTATCCATTGTAACAGTCAATCTTTAGAAAACCTTTGTAACAAAGCTTGTTTAACAGAATTCTAAGGGTCTGGAAGAGGTCGTGTTTTAAACTGTTGAAACTAATGGTTATTGATTACTTACGACATCATTTTTTCTGTACAGAGTAAATGATATTTAAAAGGAATATCGGTTAAATGACACTCAAAGATAGAGAAATAACCAAATGGCATTTCCTTTGCCTTACGGACTGTTATGAAAATGTTGGAATGTCTAGAATAGGTGGTGTTGTCATGATGCATTTGTCTGTTTTATAGATAAGCAACTGTACATGTGTTGGTAATAATCATCGAAACAAATGGTAGGCGTTGCGGCTTTTTGTTAAATAGCACGATACATTTATATCTCAAGATAATAAAATCTTGTCTATTTCATTCCAAGCTTAATTTTTCATATACTTTAGGTAAAAGAAGCACATAAATCATTGTACATACGCCGTGGTCGATAAAGTTTCATTATAATTAGCATTTAGACGTAAATATATCCCTCTTCAACTATTGATTCTACATGATGCTCTGAAAGTAATGAGTAATGTTAACACATAAACGTACCGGTATTCTGACGTTACAAAGGGGTGTCACTTTTAACCGTCTAAACGGCTTCGGCCGGGGTTTAGACAAAACTCGGTTAGAAAATTCAGTGTCTGTAGCAGGTACAGGAAACAGGTAACCGAGGTTAGTATTAGACAAATAGCCAAAGAAACTTAAGAATGATTTTAAATATTCTCTTTTCTTAGTATAACAAGATGTGATATTACTTGAACTGACTGTATTATTGTGTACGGTACGGCCCTAACGGAAAAAGCTACTCTTTATTTCCACACACTCTTTATTTGGATATATTTTATCATGATGAATTTTATAAAAAAAATAGGAACGAAATGTGTATTTTGTCATAAAGTAAAATTGTTAAATGTTTAAAATATAAGAATTCCTTTGGTATGGTTAATACGGTTATAAGATCGTCGTTAAACGGTAAGCACTTTGTTAACCATGACACTCCTTCTTCTCAGTAAAGCGTTAAAAAATGAATACCCCATCCAATTAAATGCTTTTGAACACATTTGACAAAAGGACATATTCATATTTTTTTTATTTCTCAATTATTCAGGCAATATCTGGAGAAATGTCATCTTTCGGAGGCATTAAAAACGGCAAAATAACATGAAAATTGCGGACTCGATTTGATTGAGTCTGTACACGAGGAATAATGAAAAATGCAACATCCCTCACGCCCCATAGCACCGGCTTGATCTTAACTCAAGCTACCGGAGAACATTAATAAGTGTTACAATGACTTTTCTTTTCCTTTAACATTTTACAAATTTTCAACCGAAGAGAAATGTAAAATACAACTTCTTGTGTATCATGGTCCCATCAGATATGACAGTTATGTCAAAATAATCATTTCCAAAAAGCCACTCGAATAAAATCTAGTCACCGTAATAGAAAAACGTGTTTGCAATTACTTCTTAAAATCTTTTACAAATTCCTTCTGTTGAATAAATCATTTTTCGGATCGCTTTTCCATGTTATCTTTCGAATATTCTACAGAATCTGATTTTTCCGGACTTCACTAATCTCTTCCATTCCTGTTTAAATAATGTTCCACTCACAAAATACAGGAAAAAGTTCAATGCATTATTGCACCATCCTAGTATAAGAACAACAATAGTTAGAAGTTGCCACCTGGAAATGTCCCTTTCTTTCAACTCACCTATTTGTGATTTTAATACAACACAACAAGTGTAAGGAAACGAAGTCACCATAAAAAATATGGTCATTGTAAACAGCATGCGACTTGGGGAACGAGCCTTTACTTTGCTTGCCTTAGCAGGTGGTGTTTGGTTTTTCAAACGCGTCAAGGGTTGGTTTTTAATTTCATTATTGTGCTGACCAACTGTCTTTACTTTTGTATATTTTGTTCTTGGTGTACCTTCTGGATTGTTTGTACCTTTTTGATTGTCTATTTGTGGACAAACTGGAGGTATCCTTTGTATGGAAATGGGTTCCGTGTTTAAAACAGGGCTGCATGTCCGGCTTCTGCATGACTGTTGTAAATTTACAGTGGATATATGCAATGTCGGGTAGGTCTTGTTAAGACGTTTCTTCCTCAGGATTATGTCAGCAGCGATTGTAACGTTTCCTATTAGAATAATTGTTGCTGGTATAAAGTTGAATACCAGCAGAACAATCACTCCCCATGTCCTGGTGTAAAATGCCCTATACGTTTTATTTACGTATGCACACGGGAAATGTAAAACAGGATATAGGTCTTTCCCAAATTCTTCAAGGATTTCTTGTTTGTTCAGGTAATGTTTAAATCCATAAACAATATGACTGTTTGAAAGAATAATGACAAAAAGGGTAGTCATGCAAACAACTAAAGATGTTTTAGGTGTGAATAATCTTCGTGCGCGAATTGGTGCCTTTGTTAATAACAAGCGTTCCAATGTTAGTAATGTAAGCAACAATACAGAAAACGCGACTGACGAATGAATGACCCAAAGTCGTGTTCTGCAGTAAATTTTAGAACGATCAACAAACCTGACACCCGTTATACTGTATACTGTATCCGGTAGCAGACCAAACAACAAGCTGACCATATCAGATGCGGCTAGAAATAGAAGATATATTGATGTCGAGTTCTTACGCATCCGTGGTCTTGATAGCACAATCACGCTGAACACATTTCCAAATATGCCAACCACAAGAAGCGGAATGGGTACTATCCGCCAAAGCCAGTAGGCAATTTTACATTCAATGTAATTATTATCAGTACAGTTGAGATTATAAAATGTGATATAAGCAATATCCACCATCTTAAACGTATCCATTTTTAAGATATTTACCAAGAAGAGCCAATTTTTTCTGTTCTCAATGTAGTCTATTTTCACAAATTTTCAATACATTTGATGAACTTTTTTCCGTCTCTGTCAATTGCTCGCTTTAACATAATAATACAATTTTATAGAATTTCTATACAAAGAATCTATTTTGAACCGTTCCCTTTTTCGCAGTTCCTATTTTATAATGTATTGTTTTAATTTTAATTCTTCCTATAAAATGCCCTTATTTTTCAATATTTCCTCCCAATTCAGAAACACACATATAACACTATCAAAATATAATAATTCTGTTTTTTTCTCGATGCAAGATGATAAGGATTCAACAAGGATTCATTAGCAGAATGTTTTTTCTCTAATGTTTCATCGTTACCTTTTAAAGTGGCACTCGCTGCTTCCCGGCCTTTTATCAAATAAGATAACAAGCGGCAAAATTTATACAGTGACCAAACGATTATTCGCGTTGGAAATTTAGGTGATGAAAATAAGTTTACAAAAAAAAAAGATAAAATGATATTTTGAAAACAATTTGGTCTTCTTCCGATAAAATTTCAAATTTCGTATACCAGAAAGAAGTACATTCCTAGTACATCAAATACATGTCAAATAGTATACAAATGATGAGTATATAACAAAAAGCTAATGAGTTGGGCAACAAGTTCTAGTGACATTAGATTAAGCCCTTCCCTTCGTACACATTTGTGCTCAACGAAAAATAATAATTACAACTCGTAACACGGTGTGTAAGTGTTCTCGATACTTATCAATACAATAACGCATAATTTGTTTTATTATTCTTGATATTCGGTGTGCTGGAGATACTTGCCATGTTATATGTGTCATTTAAAACAAACAAATAAACAAACTAGCGAAAAAACATCTGTTGTTCCTTAAATCTGACGCGCTTTCCTTATGTTTCTTTTAGCCGCGCTCATTGACCGATACATTCCATATTCAACAAATACCTTGGATACTTGTCTCATTTTGGTTGTAGTTTAGGTTCACTGATGTCAAAGCCAAGAACATCATTGCTAACAATTAAATTTTAAGATTTAATTCATCAAAAACCGTCTGGCATCTTAGTTTGAAACAACTTTAGCATCTGATTAGTAATCCAAAGTTAGATGGTTCGACCTCGTGCGAGGTGTAATTTTTCAGTGACGATTGATCAATGACGTCCAGTTAAATGACTTTTTTCTCACCGCTTATACAGAAATCATGTTATATAAGTAGTATATCACTTGTGAATAAATTGATAACTACTAGTTAGTTTTCAAGGAAAGACGGTCAAGTGGATCGACCACCAAGAAACCGGTATGACCAAAAACCAAAAGATCAAATCGTCGTCAAATCAGACAACAAACAATTCCATGCAACCTTTATTAATTGATTGATGATTTCATATTTGGTAGAACCATACTGTGAGTAGTTAACTGTCTTTGTTTTATAGTTTGCGGTCACTAGGAACAACGTAATGGTCAACAGTGTTAGAATAAGATTTATACATTTTGTCTATAGATCTACATAAAATATTTATTAAGTGTCTTTCTTGTTGGTCTAGATTACATAAAGTCGTTGGTTTTAATCAGAGACACGCTCGTGTCTGAAATAATGTGGATCTCATATGATAATTAAATGGACTTTTTAAAGAAACAGAACGACAGGCGAATTGTGTGGTGTTAGAAATATGATTTAGGAAACAGACTATAAAGAATGAATTCCGTCGGCAAGTCTATCGTTCAATATCCCCTCTACATCTTGTAGATGCAGAACTGCCTGGCGGTTGTATTTCAAGGAAAACGAACGCATTTGCTGTACTCATCAAATGGACTACCATCAAGATGCGTAGTCATTGCGGATGGAACCCAAGGAACCCAGGCCAAGCATGAATACTGAAATATATACATGAAAAATATCACCAAACAAATTGAGGAATATCAGTCACTGAACAACGATTAATACTGATTGAAAGATAAATGAGTAATAACAGATTGCATTTCACATTAAAATGTGACTTTACGAGTTTTTATAACGTAAGGTATAATACAATATAAAGTCAGTAGTAGAGCCCATTAGATATGTATACAAGGCGTTGTTGGTTATTGGCGAAAAGTAATGTCTACGTTAAAATTGTTCTTGCACTTTGAATCAAATGATCATCTGTCTCTCCATGCTGACATGACTAAACATTTGTTAAAATTGGCGTACAAAAAGTCAAAATAAAAAGCCATGTTATACATGTATGTATCTAATTGATTATGTGCTGTATGCATTTGGATATCATAATAAGCTAAGTGCAGGTGATTAATGCATTTGGATATCATTATGTGTTATATACATTTGAATATCATTATGTGTTTATATACATTTGGATATCATTATGTGTTGTATACATTTGGAACTTTTGAGTATACTTTTAGGAAACAGCGATACAGTTTACAAAGTGTCTTAGAATCACAGCGTCCGCCATGCATATAATGTATATTTGTAAATAAAAGCTGAATGGTGCCAATTGCTATAAGAACATAATGCACTCTGGTTCATTAAATCTTTCACTATAAAACTGAAAATATAACAAAACTGGAAAAAAGACTTCTTTAGTAACTTGTTCAGAAAAAGTCAAGTAAAATGTCACATATACCCATAGGTCCACTTCCTGGAATCTGTATCAAACAAACAAATGTAAAATAGAGATCTACAGCATTGTAGTTGAAGTAAAAGATATTTTCTTTTATCTAGTTATCTGTTATATCTATTTATATAATGGTCATTATATACCCCATTTTGATTTCAATAAATGTACATTTCATATTTCCTTTACTATTAAGGCTTTAGAGCTGAACCTAATGCATTTCTTGATTTTTGTTCCATTTCACTGTGCACCATCACAATTAAGGTCATATAGTGCCGAAAGAGTAAGCTGTTTTAGACTACCTGCGTGTGCTACAAACTTAAATTAATACGAGGGGTAAAAAGCACGTTTACCTTCTGAAGCCTAGAGAGGCACAGACTCCAGTAAATTGAACACATTTAGTCTCCTCTAATAATCATGCAGGGTTAAACGGGTGTTGCAATTCTGTTGGCTAAAACTTAAAAGGCAACCCCACCGCAACATGGGCCAATACTGGATTTTGCCTAAAGCATAAATAATGAACAATATAAATAATAATTAAAAAATACTTTCTAGACCCTATGCCGACGTAATTTGTATGTTGTTGGGATCCGGAGGTGCACCGACGATATCCGGCCATAACACCCCTTTCGCGAAGATTGCTGCTCGTTTTGCCCAAAAGTCAGCATCGTCCAATGGAATCCACGGGAGCGAAAATACTGTTGGTGCACGTGAGTGGTGAGACCTTAAAAGAGTTTCACTTAACACACCATTAAATATTTTCAAGCTAAAGATGACAACAAATATCACAAATTTCATTTTGAATAATGTATTCAAAGCAGACGAAACGGTGCACTGATGGCAGAAAAAAGTAGTCGCCGTTATACCTGGATTTTGTAACATTGAAAAAGGAAAAGGTCAATTGTTTTTGTTTTTGTTGTTGTTTTTTTTAATTCGTTTTTATATTTGTTTTCTTTTTCTATCTAAAGCAAATTTATGCATTAATTATTGTTGGGAAATTAACTGTTCTCACACAAAGATACTTTTAAGACTGATTTATGTAATTATGTAAATTATATAACGATGCACAAGGAATTTATTAAAACCTTTATCATTTACTAGTATTTTTAATGATGTTTATAAGTCCAAAAGAAGTGTAAACTTGTTTCATGTCTTTACAAATTTAAACTGAAATATTATTATATTTTTAAAATTGAAATTTCATATAATGTAATTCAAACATTTGATGTATTAATTAATGCTATATTTCAAACATTTGCTTTTTTTTTTTTTTTTTTTTTTTTTGTTGTTGTTGTTTTTTGTTTGTTTGTTTTTGTTTGTTTGTTTGTTTTGTTTTGTTTTTTTGTGTGTTTTTTTAAACACTGTTTAAATAAGTCTCATTTTAAAGCAGCACGCCTCCAGATTCATATAAATTTTCATGAACATTTTGGAAATGTATTTAAAAGTAAAATATTGTGAGGTGAATCAATATATTAACAATTTGCAACCGACAATACGATCCACGAAAATTACCAAACAGTGGTACATATGTAAAAATAGCCCCTACTGCGTTGGTAATAAAATACTGCAAAATCAGTCTTAAACGGCACATAACATGGAAAATATAACTTGGACTTTGAATGTTTTACTCTCTTAATATTTTAATACATTTTTGTCAGTATTAATTTTCTTGAAATATTTTTGCTCATCTGGAGGCATGCAGCTTTAAACATCCCTTAAGTAAAGTTGTATTGTAGTTGCATAATTAGGGGAATATCGGCTATGTCAAACGTACTACATTGTAAATTGTCTACGGTTTAAGCAGTTCTTAATGATTTGTAGTCCTTAATATATGGGTCTTTATCGGCACCCGTAGAATATCATAAATCTGCTTTTTCTTATAAACATTATTGTAAGTTAATATATCATTGTTCTTTACTCACATTTTCTCTTCTTCAAGTCTGTTCAAATTTTTCTAGCTAGGTATCTATCTCAACTTATTCATTGCCTTGAAAAGGTTTCAACATTGTGTGGCTTAACTAGACTGATGTAAAGGTTTTCAAAATGGAAGAAGGATATTACATTTTCCTTGTTTGTTAACAGAAGGGAAACCAGACATATCTCTGGTCAGACAGCAAAAAATTAAAAAAAAAACAAACATTAATTACATTTTGTTACTAAATTGCCCAATCAAATACGTAATTGTTAATTTTTGCGTTGCGTTAATAATAAACGTTTTACTGTAGTAAAAACTTTAGTTTTTGCTGTTGTGCTGGAGTTTATAAATTTCTTCGCCAGCGCTATCATCAAGCTATTTTGTATTTTGATAAGCAATTCAACTGAGTGTGGCAATCAAGCTCTATTTTCACATCTATTTAGAAAAACAAACACAATTAGTTTCACTTTACGGCTGTCACTTTGCTGAATTTGTGATAAAACGAAAACAGGTATCATTTTTACTATTTACTGTATTCATCTTATTTAGCATATTATTTAAAGTAATTTATTGTCACGTGTTAAAGTAATAGTGCAAACAAATGCATTTGAACTTTAACTGAAATAAATAGCTTTAACCTTGAAGTTATGAAAATAGCTGTTTACAATCTCAAAAATAGTTTACTGTTGCAACATAAATAGTTTTGTTAAAAATTATATATCCATTTGTAATCATTGTAATGTACCACGACAACAATCACGCCATTGATGAGGAAAATATATGAAGACACGGTGACCCCTAAATACGGCGCCCGAAATGTTTAAAAAGTGATAGTAATAGAATAAGTATGGAAGCTACTATAAAAACTGAAAGTATTGAAAATATTGCCTTTTGAATGGCGGTCAATGAGTTGTAACAATATTTGAAAATTATTTAAATTTTGGATATGAAAGTTACTTATGCCCATCAACGTGTAAACGGTCACTTATTATCATTTTATTTATTTCATGACATTAGTGGCGTTAAGAGGGTGTGCATTGCCATGATTGTCGTTTTAGCACAAATTCCCATATGAAGACAATGTTGTAAAACTGAAGATAAGCGAAACAGTTTTATTTTTCAAGGCCACCTAATGTTGTACACACATAAAATGCACAAATGTTTATAGCCGCTTCGGTTTTAAAATGCAAAATTGATTAGTTTATCGCTTTGATCGACATTCCTCCGATCTGTCCATTCTACACACTTACACATGGTTAATACAGTCTATGCTGGTCTATAGTATGATATATGAGACCGGTTTCGGACTTATAGAATCTATCATTGGGTTAGATAGAGGATAGGGATTTCCGTGTAAGTGATTTGGTACTTTGGGATCCACAATTCCGACATTTTAGCGTTAATAAATTGAACAATAATAATTGAACACTAACGCTTAAGTCGGTGCTAGTGGGAGGGGGCTAGATAGATGCGTTTTCTATTCAATCTGAATACTCTGCGACTTATTATCAATAACATATATAGTTCGGCTAAATGGTTTTTCTAATAATTGCATACAGCGTTGCTTTTGTGAATTCGAACATAAAAATTAATATGTAACTGCTCAAACAAATTAAAGAAAATAACGCACTGCGTTTTGGTTTTGATCACAGTCAATCTTTATAAAGATAGATGATCAGAATATAAATTAATAATTTGTGACCTTTAATCTAACGAAAACATAATTTATGCGATAATGTTGATTTTTGGACCGTTAAAACTCAATGGTTTTTTGTAGTCTAGGAGGTAATGAAGCACAAGTATAAAATGAATCTTGCTTACTTTGTGGTCCTGGCAACTTTTCTCGGACTAACTCGTAAACATCGTTTGAAATGAAAATGATAGGTATGTGCGTCATCATATGCTTATATTTGCAATATGGGGTGTTTTGTGAACCATTTATCGACGATGTTCATGCGCGGTCATCAAGACCCTTTTCCCTTCCTTGGATTCCTTTAGACGATGCTGATTACTGGGCGGAACGATCTGCAAGATTTGCAAAGGGTGAAATTTGGCCTACGCTCGTTGGTGCGCCCCCAGGTTTATACAATATACAAGTGACAACGGCATGGGGAATAGTAAGTACTTTCGTTTCTTCGAATATTCGTCTTGCTTAACCTTCTGTTATTGCTATTCGATTAAGATGAGAAATATCTTTTTTTGTAGGGTGGAAGATCTTTTCCCATTTCTCCTTTCATTGCACGCATAATTACATTTCATTCTTTTCGGTTAAAGTGTGTCTGCATCATTACATATCAATCTTTTCATTTAAACAAAAGTTTTCTGTTTGCCTATTTTGAGAAAAATGATGGTTTTTATTTGTTTTTGTTTTTTTACAAAAACACCATTAAACTCTCTTTAAACTTATGAATATATAGCATTTTAAATTAGCGCGCCTAAATGAGTTAACAATTGGCCATTATGGTATACTGTCATTCAAAAGTAAGAATTTACAATTACAAAAATTGAGTACAATGTACAAATGCCCGAAATTGTAAATGATTATGATGATGATGATTATCATTATTATTATTATTTAGGGACCAGGAGCTGGACCATTAGGTAGATTTGGAATGTACCGGGTGACATTTTATGTGACATTCCCTGGACTTAGTGACAAGGTAAGATAATAAATTCAGCCGATTTCATTTTACATGCAGAAGAAATAAATCAACCTATTTGAGTTTAATTGTTAGTCTTCGTTTATACGAAAATGACATGTCAACGCGTTTATACGTGAACGTTAACACCTTAGCGTTTGCGTGTCAAATTAACGTTGAAGATCCTGTATATTGTAATTGAGGTTGTATACCACACAAAGGGAATTTATATATATGTATATTATTATGCTTATAAAACAATTTTCATGCATCGAAGAATATTTGAAATATGTATTGCAAATATTTGTACATATTATATGAAATTATTAACATATATGCATTCATTTCTTATAGCAACATTTGACTAAGACTTTATAGAAAATAACTTTTATTCCCTCCCTTTATTTACATGAAATGTTAAATTCGGTAATATCTTTATAAATAATGCTTTTTTTGGAACTTCCAAAATTGATAAATCTTAATTTGAGCATCATATTATTGATATAAAACCATAAAAAAATAATAACTTGATCATAATTATTAAAAAACATTTCCATATCATATGGGTTAAATTATCTGTCCATTATAATGGGTGCTATTCAAGAACAAGCGTACTGGTCATTTGATATTTTGTTAAGTGCACTTCTGGGGCCGTATTCACAACTGATCTTAAGTTATTTCTTAAGTTAAAACATAAGTTGAAAAAAAAATCTTAGCTAAGAAATTTTTTTATCTTAAGCTTAAGTCATATTCAGAAAGTTACTTAAGTAAAACTTAGCAAATATTTTTCTTAAGTTTAAGAAATATCTTAAGCAGTAAATATTTCACTTAAAAAATCTTAAGTTGGTTGCTAATGAAAGTGGGGTTCCGTTACTAAAAATAGTAACGGAAGTGCTCTTCAATGTCTAAAATTAGAACCGGGTGTTTATACGCTGTCAAATCCAGCTGAAAACATGTCAAAGTACCATATAAAACTAAAAGATGTAGATTATGTAGAAGGGATAGCAACATGAATTATAAAATGAAAATCTATATCTAAGTATAAAACTTTATTAAGTTTTATAGCCTAAAATGGGGATCGATTTGGGGGAAATGGATACTCCATTTATGTTACTTGTCAAGGCCATGGCCTATGTATTGGCAAAACTTCAAGCACATATGAGCCGCGTCGCGACAAAACCAACATAATGGGTTTGCGACCAGCATGGCTCCAGACCAGCCTGCGCATCCACGCAGTCTGATCTGGATCCGTGCTGTTCGCTTACAAACCCTATTACAAGTAGAGAAACTGGTAGCGAACAGCATGGATCCTGATCAGACTGTGCGGATGCGCATGCTGGTCTGGATCCATGCTGGTCGCAAACGCATAACATTGGTTTTGTCGTGACGCGGCTCATATAACATGACTGAACTTGATGGGGTAGACTAGCCATTACATCACTTGAATCTTAAAGGATAAAAAAATTAAATAATAGAGGGGGGGGGGGCATAGAAGAGGCCTCAGTGAAGTGACTTGCTTAAATTTGTATAAATTAGTGTATGAAGCCCATGGTAAAGGTAGAACTTATTTATGCATGGAAAGTTTAACCTAGTACAGACAGATGGCTAAAATTTCATTTTTTTTCCTTGAAATGTTGCGATAAAAGTTCTTTTAAAATAATACAAAAAGAAGGCATTTGAATTACATGTCATGCTTTTCAGCTGTTCTGTTTCTAAAAGATAAATCACCTAGTGTGTAAACAAGTCAAAGGTTGTTTTCTTATTATTTATTCCCTTTTAATTGCATGATCAAATGTAAAACTTTACATGAACAGTTTTTTTGACATCACACATACATGTTAGAAGAAAATACATATTTCAGAAGCTGTGACCAAGTATATAGCCAATGCTTTCTATTTTTGACATTATGATAGTGCTTGCACTGCAGATTGTTTTTATACATACTGAAAGCTGCGGGCATAGTAGTTTAGAACATTAAGAGGTATGCAAGCTTATATCTCCAGTTCTGCAGATTTGACTGTTCTAATTATACAGAAAATTTCATTCAAATGCTCACAAATTCCAAACAATTTTTATGAATAGTTCAAGGATAGCAAAAAAAACAAGTAAGATTGAGCTGTCAGAAGAGCAGTGCACTCCAGTTTTCTCAGTGCTTATCTGGATAGTAATATTTTGCCGATTTAACTCCCTTGTTTTTCTCACATTTTTCGTGTTTATAAATTACTTTGAACGAAATCATTATTGCAGTAATTATTGGCGTTGATTACCTCAATGATATATCTTATACCAGTTAAAAAAGCAAGTTTTCAATCGAATCGGCGATTTTCTGTCCGCCATTTTTAAGATAATTTACTGCCAAGTTAAGAAATTTCTTAACTTTAAGATAGGGTAGTAGCTGACTTATATTTAAGACAAATATTGTCCATCTTAAGACAAAACTTAAGATAAAAAACAGTTGTGAATACCACTTAAGTAAATTGCGGATTCTTATCTTAAATCTAAGATAATTTCTCAAAATATAAGAAAAATCTTATATTTAAGTCAAAAAATTAACTTAAGATCAGTTGTGAATACGGCCCCTGGTTATCAGAACTACATAATGCACTTAACATTTATTGAGCATGTTTCAGGTTGACATGGTTGAACATTATTATGTTAGCTTCATTGTGATGTAACTTATTAGAACCACACCAAATTAAATCTTTTAACTCGCCAGGACTTGTGTAATTTGTGACTACAATTCTATAAAACCACGATCATACATCTTAACCACTTGCGGCACCGTTCACCTATAAAAGGAGAAGTAACAACAACAGAAAAATAAACAAAACGGGCTCCATAAATCGAGCTGCAAAGAGACATCATTTTCACTGTTATTGGGTTACGTTTAAAAAGGGTTACACTTTCTTCCTCCATGATCCCTATTGTCCCTGTGGTAATTCTAACATGTGGCAAATAAAATTAACATATTTTTTGTTGTTCAAATATGAAAGTTTATTGTTTAATTTACTGAATTTTCTTTTCAGTACTCCTGCTTTGCCTGGATACATTGGTCTCCTCCGTCCACTTTCACACATCTTGACGGTTTTCCAATGCATGAATCCAATAATTGCGTCAGATTTCCTTGATTAAAAGCGCCATTATGGTGACTTTGCCTTGGTGTAGTTCGTAGATAAAATTCGTTTTAAATTACATGCATTGACTTAAGTTTTCTGTTTTTCGTTTTTACAAAGAAATTAATTACATCAGCATTTCTTGAAATAGGAATTTTCGTAATAAAGGTAATTTCAATAGCATAGCGGGCTGTTTTGTTTTGATTTGTTATCTCGGGACAGAATAATCATAATACCCTGATTTTTTTGGCAAGAAAAGTATCATGACCAAAAAATAATGTTTCTTGAAAAAAATATATATTAACAACTCCATCAGATGTTACATGCTTTTTTGTAGATGTATGATATTTAAAAGGTATATCTTCCCTTCCTTCTTTAAAAACATTAGAAAGATACTAATAAGAGCTACATCTTATAATAAATTAGAACTCTGAAAATGAAGACGACATATAATATTTGAATATTAAATAAATACAATTTAAAAGCAAAACATAAAACATTAAATTATTTAACTTTCAATTAGGGTTATTGTTTGTATAGACAAGAACATTTTAGTTCACTACATTTGTTACTGCTATTGTGATAGAGGACATCATTCTGATAATATCTCTGAAAACAACAACAACAAGCAACCTTGTCGTTATTATTTTCAGCTTTTATTTCAAACAAATAAATTTAATTTTAAACCCAATATCAATCTTTATTTATTTATATAGTTCAAATAAAGTCCATGACAATAAGAGAATGTAAGACAATATTACGTTATCTAAAAAATAAGTGTTTAACATCTGCATCTCAAATCAGTTTATTACGTCGATGCATCAAATACGAGCAATTGTGTATTGTATTTCTTCATATGTTCGGTATTCAATCAAAGGGATGTTAACTTTATGCATATTAATGAAGATAAAAATAATTGTAAATCAAGGTCATTTTAATGAAGTGCTATAAAACGAACAAACAAACAAATAAAGACGGATTGGATTAAGATTTAATTGCTGTCCCGGTAACTGAACTCGAAGCCTGCATCTTTGAAGGTAATATTCGTCAATTATTTAAAAAAAGAATATCTGACGAAGCCATTTTAAAATTAAAACAACACAAACCATGCAGCCCATTAGGCATTCATTTAGCTGAACTATTGCGTTATAAGCGTACTTAAAGGAAGGTTCGTTGTTAACATTCTAGGGAAATCACCTCTACTAAACGCTGGCTCTTTCACACTTTGGTGATCTGTTAACACGAGAGCCCTCGAAACTTTCGTCCATGGTAGAGCCCTCGACCAAAACAAAGCTGAAAAAGGTTAGCACAGTCTAAAAAAAATACCCGATTTACAAGAATATGCTTGTTCTTCAAAAATCGAAGAATGCTTTGCCTTTTTCTCACATTTTTGATACGAAATACCCCTTAATGACCTTGCTAGAACTTTCCTCCATATAAAATACTCGCGTGTTTTCTTTATGAGGGAACACATCTTGGGTGATTTCTCTTCTTTGAAACTAATGTTAACCCACTTAATGCATGCTGCATTGTGCAAACCTCCTCGTTTGCTCAAAACTCGAAAAAGCTCAAAGAACTTGCTTAGAAATAACATAATAACATTTATTTCAATGTGATTGAGTCATTTTGACAAGGTGCTGACGCTGTTAAAGAGCCCTCGCAATTGTGATGGAGCAACCACAGCCAATCCATTCAATAAATGTCGATATTCGAGTTAATGAGGTACTAATACGACAAAATCTGTACCGAAGGACGTTTGTTAATGAAAAATACATATAAATATGTTTTTGCTTTGAATATCGGTATGTGACAATATTCTTTTGTGGGATGGTAAATCTGACTTTTAATCATTGTCTGTACTCAGGTGATGGTAGAAAAAGAAATGAAAGGGGTGATACTTTGGGACAATAAAAGCAAAATTGCAGGCTCGGTTCATTTCAGTCTGTTGATGATAATGATGGGACGGTGTAACATTCGGCTGAAACGGTATTTAATCTTCAACGACAGCTGATTTTGTTTGTTGGTTTGTTTTGGATTTTTTTATTATATTGCAGCTGTTATGTAATCTTATTTGTAAAGTGTTTTTATCGTCACTTTTTAGTGTAGAAGCTTAAAAATCTATATCACACTTACATGTGTGATTCAAATAGTTAACTTTGCGGGGGGGGGATGTTTGTTTCTTTTCTTTTTTTTCCTTTTTTTTTCTTTGCTTGTTGTTGGGGGGGTTTGGGGGGGGTTTGTTGGTTTTTTTGCTTTGTTTGTTTGTTGTTTTTGTTTTTGTTTTTTTTTACAGAAAGAAAGAAAAATCATGAGACAACAGTGTGACAAGACGCATACATTTTTATCAACCATGCTTTTTAGTTTTATCGAATAGAATACACTTTAACGGTACGTGCTCATTGCGCATATCTGACGCCATTTTTTATTGATTTTTATTGATTTTCTTCTCCGAAAGATCTAGATTTTCAGACAGATTTTTATGCTCAATTTCAGATTATAATACTTGGATAATGCTGTGTCGACTGCTAAGTAAATGTCCTTGAGAGCCGCCCAGTTCATTGTCTTATTATTTATTATGTTTTCTATTAGGGGAAAAGGGTTGCTCAAAAACATGTTTTTATTTTTATTTTTTATTTTTGTTTGTTAGATATCATTGAGAAAGAGTACAATGCACAGTAATGATAACTCAACTTTTTTTAAATTTTGAATTATTGTCCTTTTTCAACAATAGCTCAACCAGGCGAAAATAGACGGACTGATTTACTTAAATACTCCCGCGTCGGCGTAACACTTCGTGCAGTATCATATCTCATCCACCACTATGATACTCGTTTGTACCTTTACACACTTATTTCAGGACAAAATCTTGAATCACTGTTGAAGACTCATCACTCTAGTTTTAAAAGAATTATTTAGCTTTTTGAACTTTTTGAAAACTGCCTAAAAGTTCTTTGATAAAGATTTTGCGACGTCAAACTTTAAAAATACTGAACGTATTCACTTGAAACTTAATACATGTCATACATCCGGTGAACGGTACCATACCGTGATAACTCAAAAATATATAGATTTATTATTTGCAATCATAAATATGGAGATATTCCCCTGTTGGTCCATGATATAACACAAAATGTTTTTTATGGGAGATAGACTCCTATACCAGGTTTGTAGTTGTTGGTTATTTTTGGATAATTGACTAAATTTAAATGTCTTATTATAACTTTTCTCTTGTTTGTCGAGGGATATGACGTATCATTATGTCATCAATATCTCTTAGACATAAGTACGCGTACTTATTCTTACTACCGATTTCAGGGAGTGTGTGTGTGTGTGGGGGGGGGGGGTAAGAGGCATTTGTGCCACCTTGACATTTTTGGCTACTATTTTAATGACATTTTGCACCTATTTAAGCTAGACATCATTGGGGTTAAGAAAATAACTAATCAACAAAAAGTGAAATGACCAACATTTCAGCTTTATTACAAGTATGTTCATATAATATTAAATATTCAAAGACATGTAAATAACAAGCTATAGTTGAGTGTATAAGATATTGTTGGTGAGTTGGTGTTTATTTTTATGAATGTTTATTCTCGTTTGTTTACCTTTCGTGATAGCATCACGTTACCATTCAAAAGGTCAAATATACATGCTAATTACAAACTATAAGTGATTGTATTAGATATTTTTTTAAAAGAATGTTTATTTTCGTTTGTTTACCATTTCTTATGACATTGCGTAATCTTTTAAAATGGAACACAATAGTTATATTCTACTGAAGGAATTCCGTCAAGATGTACAGGGAACGGTGGCGGCCAATGGACCCATGCACTGCATTGATACTGAAAAAAACGCCGGCATGAGAAAACGACGTTCATAAGTTAAATAAAGTGTACTGTGAATAAATTATACATTCTAGGAGATATTGATTATTTCTTACTATTAAATTAAGATTTTCGTGAACATAAGTGTGTGAGATTTGTTTGTTTAAAATAAAATAGATTTCCAAATCTGTTGCAGCGAAAGTAAGAAATAATGAAATGTAAATAAAATTGTTGGCATTTTAATAAAAAAAGGAAGATTATATACTAATTGGTATATTGAAATGCATTTCCAAATATGTACCGCAATAAAGAAAAAATTAGATGTAAATCATATTTAGTTGATATCTTGCAAAATAACGGATTATATACCAATACGTTTATTAAAATGTATTTCCGAATATTTTGCAGCGAAAGTGAACAAGTGTGATATAAATCATATGTAGTTGGTATTTTGATATATTCTTGTTAAATAATACGGATTGATTAAAGGTATTTTTATAATCTGGAAAATTGTGATCTTGTCATTCTTAAAGAGTTTCTATTCTTTTTTGATAAACCTACCCTTGTGAACGGGACAGTCTTGTAGCGAAGTTGAAAGTGAACATAGTACATGCCATACCTTCCGGCGCCCGTATTCCAGCCCTGAAAAATATAATTATAAAGATGTTATGGTACCAGGAAATTACGATTGTTATCTTGGTTTGTCTAAAATAACCTCAGTGTTCATGAAAATGTAGCAAATATAAGGGAAATGATATCAAGTATGTTTTCTCAAACATTTAAACTTTTATATAATAATACTTGATTTTGATGTTGTATCTATAAGTTTATAGGGCTCTTGTGTTTTTGTTTTTTTTATTAATTAATTGTAACTATAATTTCGTTTTCTCTTTGTTTTTAATTGAAGCCATAATATCTTTAAGCAACGATATACTAGGTCATGGGACTTTTGCAAAAAGTGCCGCTAGGATCAAACATGTTTGGTTTCCTTTTTGTAATGTTTAGTTTTACTGTTGTTTTAAAGGCCTATTAAGCCACAGAAATGCTTTCATTTCTACTTCTCAAAATCTCTTTTTTATTTTTAGTTTCCTTTTAAACAGCCACCGAAAAATCTTTGCACCAGCGGGAAAGTCGCAAACTTCACAACCATTCATTCTTGCCCTAAACATTTGAAAATCATTTAACCTGATAGATTTAAGGTTAATTATTAAATAATTGACTTCATTTAATGCTATTTTAAATTTTTTTCTTATCAAATTTTTTATTCAAAAAATTTATCCGGGCGGAATTTTATGTATTCCGCCCGGAATTATGCTGTCCGGGCAGAGCTACTGAAATTCCAATTGGATTTTTTTCTAACATTTTTATTTATTCCAACGTGAATTTTATTTTTACCAGCAACACTTAAACTATAAAAAAAATTACGATTAATACATCCTTTAATGACTTTCTGGCTAAATTTGAAGAACTTATTCGATAAAATAAAAACAAATCCCATTTTGAATCTGGAAAAAAATCCGACTTGATTTTGATCGCAAATTTTTAAAATTCCGCCACGACAAATTTTTAAAAAAATTTTTTTTGATAAGATAAAAATTTTAAATAGCATTTAATGAAATCAAGTATTTAAAATAAACCTTAAATCTTTTAGATGAAATGGTTTGCAAGAGTTTAGTGCAAGTATAAATGGTAGTGAAGTTTGCCAAAGTTTGGTGAAAAGATTTTCCGTAGCTGTTTAAAACTAGTTTCCAAAAAGTAACTGATTGGCCAATTACATGATCTTTCTTCTTCTTCTGTTGCGGTTTGTCAATTATTATATTTTAAGTGATTAAGTATTCTGTATTAAAGTCAAAATAATGTTTTGTTAGCATTTTGCAGCTTTTGTGACATATTGTTTTACATTTAGCGCTATATTATTCAGGTAGCAAGCATCTGACATGCTTTAAAACCCTTATTAAAACGTTATGAAACTCATTTTTGACCTTTCTAAAGAAGTAGATATTTATTCATTGATAAGGCATAATGTGCCTTTTAAATAATGAATAAATGCAAGACGGTGGCAATATTCGAATTGGCCAAAGCTCAATATTCTCAAAACACAAAGGTTGATGATACTATCTGATGTAACATTATACACTGTCTTTGCAGTACTTGTAGCCGTAGAGGTCATGCTCGAAGACGTCCTCGTCGTTGCAGTACTTGTAGTCGAAGAGGTTGTGCTCGAAGACGTCCTCATCTCGGCAGTACTTGTAGTTGTACAGGTTGTGCTGGAAGGCGTCTTTGTCGTTGCTGTACTTGTAATTGTAGAAGTTGTGCTCGAAGACGTCTTTGTCGTTGCAGTACTTGTAGTTGTAGAGGTTGTGCTCAAAGACGTCTTTGTCTTTGTTTTTCTTGTAGTTGTAGAAGTTGTGCTTGAAGACGTCTTTATCGTTGCAGTACTTGTAGCTGTAGAAGTTGTGCTCGAAGACGTCCTCGTCGTTGCAGTACTTGTAGTTGTAGAGGTTGTGCTCGAAGACGACCTTGTCGTTTCAGTTTCTTGTAGTTGTAGAAGTTGTGCTCGAAGACGTCCTCGTCGTTGCAGTACTTGTTGTTGTAGATGTTGTGCTCGAAGACGTCTTTGTCGTTTCAGTACTTGTAGTTGTAGAAGTTGTGCTCGAAGACGTCTTTGTAATTGCAGTACTTGTAGTTGTAGAGGTTGTGCTCAAAGACGTCTTCGTCGTTGCTTTACTTGTTGTTGTAGAGGTTGTGCTCGAAGTCGTCTTCGTCGTTGCAGTACTTGTAGTCTTAGAGGTCATGGTCGAAGACGTCTTCGTCGTATCAGTACAAGCAGCTGTAGAGGTAATGGTCGAAGACGTCCTCGTCGATGCAATACTTGTAATCTTAGAGGTCATGGTCGTTAACGTTTTCGCCGTTGCAGCTCTTGAAGTCTTAGAGGTCTTGGTCTAAAACGTCTTCGTCGTTGTAGTATTTGAGTCGTAAAAGCAGTCGTTGCAAACAGTATCAACAGTAAAGATTACCACAACTAAATACCACTACAACCCTTTTACTACCACAGTATCAAAAATATTAGCTAAAACACAACTAAAACATATCAAGCAGCATTACCATAGCCGCAACTAACAGGGGATTTTTGCAACACTTTATTGAAAATGATCCTTTTAGCCACAACAAAGAAGGTAAGCTGTATTCAGTGTACCCGTAAGCTGTAAACGGTGCTACAGTCAATGTAAGTTACGCCCGGCGTAAGTTGTATACGGCGTTAGACTGCGTTCGTCACGGAATAGTTTATAACTTTGTAAGATGAAGGTTAACATCTCGTTCATTTACTTGTCAAATCATTTCTAAATGTAAAAACAAATGTACATAAAACTGTTTTTGTCTGTCTCAAAAAAAGAAAGAAAATGAGGATAGAAATGAGAAAAAACATATTTTAAAAAACTGTAAACAATAACTTACATATCCCCATGCCGAAGTGACAATTACGTTAAAGGTCACAGCTGGGCCTATTCCCAGTACTTCTCTACCCGCAAATCTTGCAGACCTTTCAGGCCAGTCATAGTGTACATAGAGATCTACTGGTATCCATGGAAACGCCCGAAATGATGAAAACCTTGCCGGATCATGTTTCCCAATCTCGACACCGAGAATACCACTGAGGCAAATGGCACTGAAGAATATATTAAAACATAAATGCTGCATGTTGATAAGGTCTGTGATCTTCCCTTTACAGACGTCTCATATCAAATGACACTGCACAATGAAATGCACTTATTTATACATATAATAAACATGAAACAATGTGCATGGATAAGATAAAAACATATATATTGATTGATTGGCGAGATCTGTTTTCTTGTTAGTAGATATTAATACTTGCTTTTGACATTGATGAGTTTAAGTGAATCGCAAAAAAAGAATGATAATGAAAATGTATGCAAAATATCAAATATGTAAAAAATAGATTTTGACTTCCTTTATTTGATTACTTTTGAATCATTAATTGATAATGTGGTGTAGGAAATAAATATCTGTTTTGATTGAATGATCTTATAATATTGCATAGTATGTAGATTTACTGCGTAGTAATTTCATAATGTAAGTCTTACAACAATTGATTTTTGATCTGAATAGCACCTTGCCCCCTGCTCTCCCCTACCACTCACACACAGAGAGAAACGTTTTGGACAATAAAATTAAGACTCATAGTAGGGCAAAACTGCCTACGAGTCAATTATGAATACCTTATTGGCGATTGTTTACATTCATTGTTAATACATATATAGAAAACATGGTTGCTGGTGTTACCATGTCTGAAGGTCAAAGGTCAAGTCCACACTTAGAGGTCAGAGGAAAACACTTTTCAACATACATGTACATAGAGAGATTGTTAAATACCTTGGCCAAAAATATTCAACATATAAAACAAGGTCAGTTAAGAAATTTAAAATTTGAATATTTATCATAATGTGTGGGATTTTATGTTGAATGTTCAGTGTTATGAGATCGAGCATTTGTGACGGGTGTATTTTGTGCCAAAGTTTATTTATTCGCAATCTTGTTATCTAATATAAAAACTTCTCTAGAATGATGCAACATTTTCATATTAGGCATTCCGTAATCAAATATAAAAGCAAATTTAACAGTTTACCATCCCCCATTCCTTCCGCTTTATTTGCATAATGTCCCTACATGTATATGCTTAACTTAAATCTTGCTCAAAGTTTCTATACCTTCGAACAAGCTTCTAAAGCATTTTCATGCTGTATAATTTGACAACATTAGACATTTTCTCTATACAATGTTGGTAGGCAATACATAAAATGATATGAAATTTCCTTATTCCTACTTATGTGGGAGAAACAATGTTCAGCTGTTTTCGTTTAGGGTTTTCAGCCGTAGTCTGATTGTTTGTATCTTGTCTTCCGGTTGTTTTATGCCTTGCGTTATTTGTCATCTTTTAACTGGTAACTGACGGAAAAATAAAAGCACTCGGTTTTCGCTATTCTTTTCCCTGGTTTTTGGCGAACATGTATCGCGTGTTTTATCGTTATAATTTATGATCATAAAATATGATATATTTGAAATAAAATTAGTATTTGTCTTTATGTAATTGTATACAGTTTAATACTATTTTTTTCAGCGTCAATAATAGTAAATATAGCATTCCAACAACAACTGAGCAAAGCAGGTCTACCTCAACTGAATATACTTTTACATAAAAATGTCTGATTTATGACATATTAAACAACAGGGTCATGGGGAAATCATACGGTCGTCAACCCCAAGGAAGTCATTGGGTCGTATTCAACTAGATATTGTTTTCACCAAATCGCCAAAATTTGTATAACTTGAAAATTTGTAGAACTCAACAACTTGAAAAGTGTTAGGATATGCTTTAAGCTGTTGGCATGGTGATATGGTTTAAATCATAAACAATCAAATGCGCTTGATCTTTGAGTAAAAGACAAAGCACATTCCTAGGAATAAAATTAGTTTTACAAATCCTGAAGCTGTCTAGAGATAAAGTTATCGCAAATGATATATCGGTAAGTTCTTTTTGACTTTTTGTACTAAATCATTTTACGGGATAAGTCATTATCAGTTCATTTCAAATTACTGAAAAGTTACATTGGCTGTAAAAGGATAAAAGTACGACATTCTAGTTAAGGTGAAAAAAAATCAAGTCAACAATGGTGTTCAATTATAATTATAAAGTTCGTAATACACATATTTATTGGAGAAAAATGTAGAATTTACGTGCAATTTAATTTTAAAAAGAAGTACTTTTATTATGAAGTTGAAATGATTTAAAATAAATTAAAAATGTTCTTTCTGTTTGGCAAAAGGGCAAAGAAGTCTCAATATCTCGAGACAATTATCAATACGGATCGCATCGATTCGGAATTGAACCTGGCTCCAGATGTGCAACACTTGGAGTTTCCCAGTGAACATGCGCTCTGCATATGAACTGAAATGAGAACGATAGATGTCAGTACGTATACAAATCTTACACCGTATGCCGGTACAGAACGGAATATCAAGCTCGAGGGTAGCTGTTCACGGCGGTTTCAGACTCTGCGAAGCTTCCGCTAAACAATTACCTGAGAGCCACATACTCCGGTCTGTTACACCAGCCGGTGTTTGATTCTTTTTCTTGTATATAACATATTAGTCATATTTTGAAAAGAAATTACGAAAATAAATAATTTTATTTGGCCTTTTTTCTTAAAGTAGCGTATGAATTTACAACTTCATTCATAATGGTAAAATGACTTTATTTTAAGAACGAAATTCATTCATGATAAAAATCGCGAGGTAATTACGTCATTTAAAGCACGCGACTTGTCTTACATGGGGGTGTAAGATAAGTTTTTCTAGCACCGATGTAAACAGAAGATAATCGAAATAGATACCATTTTGTCTGTCATCACCTCATGGTTTATCGTTCACAAATGATGATATATATATCTATATACCTGAACTGGGTCCGGATGCTGTTTATCAAAAATACTTACTGAAAGTTAATATATAGTACCTTATGTTATATAAAAAAAATGTAATTCTGTTCAAGGATTTATAATATTAAATATTATGAATATTCAAGTACCTTATCAGTTATTGTTCCTGGTAGATAATCGACAACGAAAAGCACATCATAGTATACAAATCTGCCAAAGATCGGATTCTGAAATTTAAAAACCAATAATATGTAATCAAATAAAAATATAATTAAAAAAAATATATATATAAGCATAAAGTAAACTCGATTGCTAAAAGACAGTGTGCATTTGATTCTTGGGAATTCTGTATTAATAACTTGAGCAAAATCTTGGCAAATTTTGAAAATCAAAATTTGCAGGAATGTATTAACCAAAAGGTTTACTTAAATTTGAACTGAAAATTGAAAATGTCAAAATTGTAGCTTCGTGTAAATAGTGGAATGATGAACAGTAAATGTTTCAAATTGTTTCTCTTTAACGCTTGTTGTCTTTTTTATTGCATTGCAGTTTATCATTATATGTTGCGTCTATCTCGGCAATGTATCAACGAAAGTGTGAGAGATTGTACGGAACTGGCGTGACGTCATGTGGAATTGTGTTTGAATTATATTCCATTCAAATATTCAAAAATACCCATTGGCAAAAACGCTTTAATAAAAAAGCAAAAATCACAATTCTTTCACTCCGCCACCCCAACCCCCGCCCCCGTCAGCTGTTTACACGTGATAAAAGTTCCGATACTAATCTGATCTCAATTAGTGTAGTTAGTACATTACTACCAAATATGCCAACAATTTGCTTAAATAATGTAACAAAGAGCAAACTTTCTTTTTGTGGCAGAGTATGCTTTAGGACTTATTCCACAGATTGGGTGTTTGAATGATAGTGGGTTTGCATACTTATATTAAATAAAAGACTGTTAAACCGACCGAGATTAAAAAAATTAGAGGATATTTGCAGGTTTCAGAGAGAAAGCGAAATATATTTCACCGAGTGAACACTAGATCTAGTATTTTCACGAATAAATCAGCATAAGACGGCTGATGATCAAAAGTGACTAACAGTTGATTTTTTATTTATTATCAGACTGGATTATGTTTGTTTCATAGTTACCGATTTAATATTCAGTCACTTTCTAGAGTGGACATTTACGAGTGAAAATGCAACCTACCATCTGGTGTTTATTTGCCGAAGTGATTTTAGGCGCGTTATTTTGTGTCCGTGTTTAGGATATTTTGTTTTAAATGCACTGTATGAAGAACAAAAGGAAATCGCATTGTTCGATAAGTTTTGAAATTTGAAAATTATGAATACTTATGACTGACAATAATCAGTATTATTGTAACTATTTGGCTCTTCAATTCGTTTTTTTTTAAATTATTGTCCTTAATTATATTATACATATCTTCATTATCCGTCATTGATATTTTCAAATGATGTCTATATTTTTTTAGAACACAAATTACTTATTATAAGTTATTTGCTTGACTCGGAATGTATCAACAAATTTAAATCGTATGTTTATTTATAAATTATTTTCTACACTTACCAGTCCCTTTGCCGTAAGAACATGAACGTAAATAGAATATTCTGGATCAAGCAATGCCTCCGCCGCAAATCGTGCTGACTTCCTTGCCCAGAGATCCCATGGTTTCACAAATACCCATGGTGGTCTACGAACGCTGATAAAGCGAGCAACCCTAGATCCTCTGCTACGAAAGGGCAAAGTAAATACTTCACACATAAGGCATAAACATAGAAGATGTGTTAGAAGATACACACGTGTCATGTTTGGTGTTTAAACCGTTAATTGTATCCTTTGTAGAACGTTAACCCTACTTTTGACGAGACGAACACAAACTGCACATGACTGTTTTATATATCCGATAAGGACGCAACAAATTTCTCTTTTTTTTTATTGATGTTTGAAATTTATTTGAATTTAAAGAAATTTAAAAAGAAATTTTATTTAAAAATGTTGATGACAAGACTGTTGTTTTCGTTTAGTGCGTTCAATATTTAACCAATGTTCTATGTCCTCCGCCAAAAGGTGTACCAATTGAATAGACTATAAGGAATAATATTTGAATGTGCTAGTGTTCGGATCAAGTGATTGCACTGACGTTTTTTCTTTCCTTTTGAAATGTGTACTTTGAATAAATATGTTTATTAAACTTCGAAATATTTCATTATTTGTTTCGCATGTTTACATGATGACGAAATAGTTATGCCTTGCTATATTTGTAAGCATTTCCTTTTCGACGCTGTACGGCCAGAAATATGGCCAATATACCATTAAACCTATTGTATTATTATTATATTTTAAAAGAGTTGTCATCTTTTATCGTCTGTTCTCTCAGTGTTATCATGTTTTCTGTCTTTTTTCCTCAGTGTTGTCATGTTTTGTCGTCTGTTTCCTCAGTGTTGTCATGTTTTCTCGTCTGTTTTCTCAGTGTTGTCATGTTTTCTCGTCTGTTTTCTCAGTGTTGTCATGTTTTCTTTTCAGTTTTCTCAGTGTTGTCATCTTTTCTCGTCTGTTTTCTCATTGTTGGCATGTTTTCTCGTCTGTTTTCTCAGTGTTGGCATGTTTTCTCGTCTGTTTTCTCAGTGTTGGCATGTTTTCTCGACTGTTTTATTTGTTTATCTGTTTTTCATGGATGACTGTGTATATGTGTGTTTTCAAATTGTTTGACTTACGGAAATTGTTGTGCCTAAAAGTGAAGCAAATAAATTTATATTTGTTTTTATGGATGATTGTTTGTGTATATGCGTGTTTTCTGGAGAGAAAACAGAATGTCTGTGTCTCTGTGTTACATAAATATTCTTACTTACAAAATCAATGAATAAATGTTTAAAAAATGATTTTTTTTATATCATGTATCAAAGTTCAAATAATTTCCGACTCATCCTCTACTTGTACATGTGTTTGTTAATTTTGTAGTATTGATGTTTTTACAACGACAACTATAGAAACCTTTCTTGTGTCTACAATTGTGACTATAAATTGAGATATTGACTTTTGTTCAGATATATTATGTAATAGTCGCATTATAAAAATAAATGATTTTCAAAATAAAGGAGCAAAGTAGCAGCGACTGAAGCTGTTAATGTTAACTATTATTGTCTTGTAAGCATCTAACTGACTAAATTATTGACCACGTGTATTGTTGATAAATGCAACATATAACTGAATGTTAGGTAAGCTCTATTGTTGCAAACAAACGACGGCGAACGCAACAATAGACACTTGTAAGCAAGCGCTTTGTGCACGTTTTTATATGCCCGACTCAGAGTGCCATGTAAAAATAGCATACTGCAATGACGGCCGAGTTAGTTTCATTTTCAGATGATAAATGTCAAATAAAATCGCTCTAGATAGCACGTGGAAAGCATGACAAAATAGGGTTTTAAATAAGAAAAATAGATAACGAAACGCAAAATTGCCAAATCAGAGGCGCAAATGTGCGGACTCGGGCTAAATTGGATCTGTGAGTATCTGAAGATATTATTGCACGGAAAAAGTTGCATTGAAAAGTTTCGAATTGATGCCTTCTTATTTGACGAAAAAGTAGAAGGACGATTAAATATAAGAAGGAGATACAACATAAAAGTTATATAAGTGCAGGTGTTTATTGTCGATAACATTATTCTGCTCTGTGCATATAATGGGGAATCAGTAGTTTTTATATAAAAGTCTATAAAGATGTAAAGTCAACAAGGATCCTTAATTAAACCATATAATGGCATTGTTTGGCCGTATCAACAAAATTTAAAAAAAAACAACATTACGCCGTTTAAAAGTCAAATAAAATATGAAGATTTAAATTACGAGAAGATATAGTGTAATGCTAGGTAAAGTAATAAAATCCGCAAATTAAAAATAATTATTGTCAATTTCTTTAAAACTGCTTGATTACTTAATAAGTTACAAAACACACTTGCAAATTAAATTGCATGCTCAAAGGTCTGTTTAAAATCGAACACCACAGTTTGTTGACATTTGTATAAAATCTGAATAATACAATTAAGCATATCCTTTAATAAAAATACCGCTTTGCATTGATGTATTGTTTTGTAAGCCTTTGTAATTATAATTTAAAATCAATTCGGGGTTAAATTTTATATGTTTTTAACTTGCCTCCCAATTATGTATTGGATCTGAAATGCAATAAAAATAATAAATTGATAAAACACACATCCATTATTTAACTGTTTAATATTAAACAGACAGCCAATCGCTTTATATTTGAAGCAGTAATGTCACGTATTACCAAAACGTAACAGTTTGCATACAAATGTGAATGCAGTTTTAATCACGGAGATATACAAAGACATACTTTGAAAACCAATATGTGAGGCAATGTTTTTGATCGTTTAGCCAATTTTGTCTCTACTTCTTCAGCTTATAAAAAATAGTACATCATCAAGAGTGCATTGTATCTTGAAATTTCAAAGTGTTATCGGGACTTATAACGGCGCGACTTTGATGTACGTCTGTCCGTAGACAATTGGTTTCCACACGATTTCTTTGAAAGGTTTTGCGATGTAAATATATCAGAACACGTGTTAAATCCGATTTTCTTTGCAAAATTTAAATACTGAGTGATAAGTTACCTTCCAAATGTCAATTTTCTGATAAATCTTTGATTTAAGTAGCAATGTAGAAATTTTTTTATGGATTTCAATGATTTCAGTTATATGTTATTTATAGAGTTTTTCCTCTTTCAATGCATTTATTGTGAAGTTAAAGCCTTTTAAGTTTTTTAAGCCCAACTGGCTTATTTGGGAGTACATCGGGATTTAAAATCCAATGGTTGCTGGTCCGATCCTCGATCGAGACGTCGTTGCCAGTTTGATCCTCGATCGAGACGTCATTTCTCCGTGACAATTGAGTCAAATAGATTTTTGTCTCTCGACTCTTATTAAAGCATCATTTGGGATGAGAGTAGTCGGACATTTGGAGGAAAATCCAAGAAAGTTGGTAAGGTTCATCGACCTTCGAGTTATGACCAAATTGTGTTTAATCGGCATATAAACAACAAATAAACAAACAATAAGTGTGTTTATATCTGACATGTAAGTTTGATATCCTTTGCAATCGACTTATTTTAAAGTTCTGTACCTTAATATATAAATTTTCTTAAAGATTCTGTAACACATTTTTTTCATGGTTTTATTTTATAAATATGATGCTCAAATTAAGATTTGTCAATATTGTAAGTTCCAATAAACATTATCAATAAAGATATTACCCAATTTAACATTTTATGTAAATAAAGGGAGGTAATTAGAAATATATTATCTATAAATTCTAAGTTAAATTATCCAATAAGAAATGAATGCATGTAATTTATCGATTAAATATAATGTGCACACATATTTGCAGTACACATTTTACATATTTTTCGATGTTTGAAAATTGTTTTATTTGCATAATTATATACATATATAATTTTTTGCAAGTGTGGTATACACACAGTAACAATATCAATCACAAAGCATACAGGATCTTTAAATCCTTTGGTTTTGCGTAACAAACTATGAAAGGATTTGAATGATTGTGTTTGTATTTGGTTTGTTAATATTGTTTTATCAAAACACAGGCAAAAATCTTCAAAACATATTTTCGCCTATGGCACCTCGTTCTTGATTTGCAGACGGGCGTTCGTCGGCCGCATCGCAACTTTTGTGATAATGTGTCTTTTTATTGTCATTTGCTAAAGAGAATGATTCATCGAAACAAAATTAACTACATTCAGTAAAAATGCAATTTGTTTGACGTCGTTTAGTTTATTGTCGTCATTTCTGACGCCATACGACGTGCAATTCAGTTTCATTCTATTGACCTTGTATATAATTGTATTTGATAAATTATTATGTTTTTAATACAATATTCTTAGATTGGTTAATAAAGTATACAGTGTAAATTAACTTTATATTTTTATTCAGTGATGTCTTTCGTGCTGATGACGTTTTGGCAGCAATACATAGGCAAACAATAAAACCATGTATATATCTTGAGAAAAATTTCAGAAAATCAAGATTTTGTATCAAATATTGATGTGTAGGCTCCGTGTTATTGAATGGCTTTGAATATGACGATCAATGATGATTTAAAATGGAACGCAGTAATTGAACTTTTCAAACGGAGCGCCATCGAGATGTTCGGGAGCCGGAGGTGGCCAGTGGACCCATGCACTACACTGATACTGAAATAGTAAAGAAACATGGAAAACTATATATTTTTAAGTTAGAGTCTTAATGTTGCCGTGCAACAATTACTTTCATGCATTTTTTACGAAAGACCGGTGGGAAAATTTCAACTTCATAAATTCCTGATTTCTTCTCATGAATTCACAATTTCAGCTTCATTATTTCACGATTTTCAACTTTCACGAAGTTGAATTCATGAAGTTGAAATCGTGAATTTGTGAAGTTGAAATCGTGAATTCGGGAATTTGAAATCGTGAATTCGTGAAATTGAATCGTGAACTCGTGCATTCTGTATGTTAAAAACGTGAATTCACGAAGATGAAATCGGAAATTTGTGAAGATGAAATGTTCCCACAGGTAGTTCGTACTTTTTTCCTCACTACTGTTGCTATATGTAAGGAAAGTGGAAGTCGTATGCAAATTACCAGGTTGAAATTAATCTATAATAATTAAGGTAAATTATATATATTGCAAACCCAACAAATGAGTGATGTGTTACTAATCACAAATGTCGTTTTAATATATAATATGATATGATATATATGATATGATATGATATAAAATAATATAATATAATATAATATAATATGATATAATATGATATGATATATATGATATGATATGATATGATATAAAATAATATAAAATAATATAATATAATATGATATGATATGATATAATATGATATGATATATATGATATGATATGATATAAAATAATATAATATAATATAAATTGAAAAAAGACTTTGCGATACAGCAAGGTTTTAAACTATTAATTCATGATATTGTAATGGCGTCAATAAGGTTAACGGTTTTATATATATTGCAAAAAAACGATATTGATAGTGAGACTTCAAATTGTACATACCCTTGTGTATGGTGGGTTAATGTATTTGACTTCAAAATGAACATAATACATGCCAAATCTGTTTTCGCTTGAAAGCCAAAACTGAAAAATGAATGAATAAATTATAAATAAACGAAATCATTGATTTCATTGATGAATTGTTTCTTGTTTTAGAATTATCAACACGTTAGTATGAAGACAAATGTTCCAGGAGCAAATGTTATTCATGTGTCGTTTAAACTGTGTTATTTCGTTAAATATCTTTAATAGACTCGTCTATCTTTCAATTTGGATATTGCAATTCATCATATATAGGGAAAATATCAAAATATGTACCGACTGAATTTATTGGTTACGTACCCTTCCCCATGCTGATGTCACACGTGAAGCAAATGGTACACCAAACCCGATGCCCAGTATTTCTCTGGCAGCAAATCAAGCTGATTTCGACGGCCAAAAACCACTCACAAACAAATCTACAGGTGCCCAATCCAGCGCACTAAAGGATGTAAACAGGGCCGGATCGTGTTTTCCGATCCCAGTATTGTGAACTCCATTTGATAAAAGCACAAGCAGAAAAACGTTTGCAAATAAAGTCCGTATGTTTATGAGCGCAGCTTTTTTGCCTTCTCATGAAATCGGTTCCCGGCACACTGTATAAAAAATGTACGCGTATTTATACCAGTGTGCCTACAACAAAGAATATGAACTAAATTTAACATGGCATTTATGCGTAATTATAATACATATACCTTATCATTTATATTTTACTTGTTTCATTCTATTGATAGATTAATTAATCAATTATTTAATTAATTCGATTATGGATTCAAAATTATGGCAGTTATTTGTCTATGTCGGTCGTAAAGATTGAAAATAAATGATGTATGGCTAACATGACTGTCAAAATGCAAATGAGATATTTCCGTTTTTAAATTGTATTTTATGATTCAAGATGACGTAATGTTTATATCTACCATTTTATGATTGATGATGGTATATCCGCTTCTGATGGTTTTGTAGTTAAAGATCTTGTATGTTTTGTGACTGATATTGTTACTGTGTGTATACCACACTTGCAAAAAATTTATATGTATATAATTATGCAACTAAAACAATTTTCAAACATCAAAGAATATGTAAAATGTGTACTGCAAATATTTGTGCACATTATATTAAATCAATAAATTATATGCATCAATTCTTATTGGAAAAGTTGACTGAGAATTTATAGAAAATAAATTTCTAATTACCTCACTTTATTTACATGAAATGTTGAATTCGGTAATATCTTTATTGGAACTTACAATATTGACAAATCTTAATTTGAGCATCACATTTATGAAACAAAGCCATGAAAAAAATGTTTAACAGGATCTTCCAAAGTGCTTCTAAAACTCTGCTATAGTCATCAAATATGCTACACAAAATTTGCTTTGATAGTAATAGACATTTTTATGTTTTGTGTTTAAAGGACAGTCCGTTGACATGTACGTATTGACTATAAAGTTCGTATGTATGCTAGGGTTGCGATTTGTTTAAAAATTGACCATAGAAATATTATTGTTTTGTTAACGGGTAAACAGAACCGTGAGCTTAGAGGTTCAAAAAATAATAAGTTGATGGTGACGTTGGTAATTTACCATCCAGATCACGGCAATATGCCACATTGAATTAACCAGAGTAAGGCGAAACAGCGAGCTTAATTGTGGCCTGAAACCAGTACTTAGAAGCTTGCATAAATAGTGACACAAATAATATAAAATAGTCAATGCTTAGTGATCTAGTTTTTGTATTTATTTGAAACATATTTTTGTTTTGTTCCAGAACAATTGTTTATCTACTATATATGAGCCGCGTCACGACAAAACCAACGTAATGGGTTTGCGACCAGCATGGATCCAGACCAGCCTGAGCATCCGCGCAGTCTGATCAGGATCCATGCTGTTCGCTATCAGTTTCTCTACTTGTTATAGGGTTGGTAAGCGAAAAGCATGGATCCTGATCAGACTGCGCGGATGCGCAGGCTGGTCTTGATCCATGCTGGTCGCAAACCCACTATGTTGGTTTTGTCGTAACGCGGCTCAAATATAGATACGCCATAACAGATCATGCTTCCATCAAAATCCATATAAAAAATTATCTAATGCTATACATTATCAGCATAACTTATTTTTTGAATTACAGACCTTCCACTATGGACCAAATCCCTTTCATGAGAATAGATAACAAAAACATCGTTTCTTTCAATTTTAAAGCAGCATAGCAACATGTCTCAAATCAATGCTTATTTTCATGAAAACGTTTAATATGTGTGTAAAATGTCAATAAAATGTCATGTGAACAAGGAAAGTATCGACCTCTTCTTTACTTACAATATATTAAACAATGTTATATTTGATAGAACTGTATGGCTTTCTGAGAAAGGCAACTATAACTTGCTGCGTAGCAAGATGAATCTAGAAAACTGGGACGAACTTCAAGATGACGATATTTTTGTTTGTTTGTTTTGGGTTTTATGTCAAATCGATACAGTATAGAGTAGAACCACCGACGTTCCGTAAGCTTGGATAGCTTCCTCACATGAAAGAATCCAAAGTCCCTGTCGGGATTTGAACCCACAGCGGTGAGGGGCAAGTGATTTGAAGTCATATTGACACCTTTGTCGAGAAAAAACACTATCATAAACATATCAAAACTTTTCATTCCAAACAAAAATGTAAAAATCAAGCCTAATAACCATCCATGGATGAACAATCAAATAAAAACAAATAAGGCAACGTAAGCGCGTCTATAGAAAAGCAAAAACTTCTCAAAGTCAACATAATTGTTTTGTAAGGCAAAAAAAATAAAACATAGCAACTCAAGCATCAGAGCAAATCTGTTAAGTATTTGTGACTTTATGACAACAACAAAAATAAACGTTTTAAGAATGTCAATTAAATGTAGATTTATTTATTTATTTATTTATTTATTTATTTATTTATTTATTTATTTATTTATTTATTTATTTTTATATACAAGTATTTCTTTTGTAATTTTACTACATGTATGAAAGTTTATCAATTTTCTTCAAATTTCTAGTTTTCGATCGATTTGATGTGTAAACATTTTCGAATGCCTCTTGACTTAAACATATAAAATGGTATTTTTTAATTAAGTACCTACTATAGATTATTCATAACATAGGAATAGAGACAATGGATTCCTAACAGAAAAGCAACATTTTAAGTAAAGTAGTCTATAAAAGGTCTTGTTTATTATAGTTTCACCCCTACTGAAAGGACCAGCCATTTCTGACTTATGAGACATCTTTTCCTAAAATACCATGTATCTCCCAACTCCTACCACTATGCCAGGCGCCAGGCGGATAAAAATCGGTAACCATTCATTTTAACTACCTTGCTGCTCACAAAACGGCCATTTTGGAACGAGTCCAACGAGAAACATTCATCCTTCAATTAACGCTCCCTTTGGGGCTCGAACCTTTGAGACGTTATGCCCATAAAAATAGCCAACAAAACCTTTTGTAGCGTCTTTTTTGTTTGGAAAGCAAACTCGATAGCACCAACAGTGCAACAATGTGACAGGTGTTTTGAAGAACATAGATAAAATGTTGTTTGTGGCAGTTGTTTGTTGCTTTATTTTTTCCATATATTTTTAAAGATAGACAGATAGACATTCGTCTCAGAAATGCAAACATGCTGATCCAATAAATGAAATCATATGACTTCTCTGCTGGTAAACACATTTGCAGCAAGTGTCACATGAAAGAACATAAAAAAACCTTAGTGGAATTAAAGCTTTTTATTGTTTAATCATTTCTTCATCTGTATTCATTTTTTTCATTTTGATTGGATACATTTTCCATTTTCATTACAGTTTACAATATGATTCGCTGATTTCACAAATGGGACAATAACGCATGTAACACGGATCATTGTGCCACTTCACGCCAATACTATACAGAGCAATTACCAAACAAATTCTTCTTTAGTTGGGTTATATTGTTTACCCGCATACCATTTGAAGAATCCTGCTTGAGACCCGTACGTGCAATGCCACGGAGAACCTACTTCTTTACGATATCCGTCTATCCATAGTTTAGAACTTGATCTACTGAAGCCTGTAATAAGACAACAAACATTTTCAAATTCTATGTTATTAGGTTTTTGGACTTCACTGTGTTCCTTTAAAGCATGGCTGTATAATATGTTTGTACCTTTCTACTTCTACTATTGTGACAGTTTATAAATGTATTAAGTATATTATGCTCATCTTTGAGTAAAATATTTATATTGCAGAAATTCATTGAAATTTATTAATTCTTATTGAATATATCTTATTAAAAAACACATACATGCAAGCTATGTATGAGAATCTGCCTTCCTTATGACGAGACATGTAAATCTAGTCCTTTCTTAAAAAACTGCCATTTATTTGATGACACTATTTGTACATGTACATAGTGCGTCCACTTTAAAGCATTACATATCTACTTTGAATGAAGTCAAAATATGTCTACTTGTATTTCATATTTGCAAAACAAAAATCGTGAAGCCATTTTATTTTTAAATACCAAATTTGAGCAATGTATATAATAAATAGCTTTTCAATGTTTTGACTGATAATAATATTTTATGTCTAAATCCATATATATTTATTGTATTGTATGCTAATTGTTTTGTAATTGTCTGATAATACCTTTATCAAAAGATATATGTAATAGAAAGAGCATCGAAACACGAGGCTATCTGATTTGTACGAGGGGGCGTACATCATAGGCAAAAAAAACAACAAGAACCGGTTGAACCGGGTGATGCTCCCCGAGAAGGTTATGGACACAGGAAAGTATAAAAAAATGAACAAAGGGCAAAAACTCCAAAATTAGGCAAAGCGGAGTTATGTTTCTTTTGCACTGCACTTCTATTCAATGAGATCTATCTATCTATAAAGTTTCCTGATGATATCAGAGTTATGTCCCGGGTAAAATTCAAAGTGTAAAAATGAACATAGGGCAATAACTCCAAAATTAGACCAGGCTTTGTTTAGGTTCTTTAAGCATTGCAGTTCTATCCAATTATATCTAGCTACCTACAAAGTCTCATGTTGATATCTCTAATAGTTTTAAAGTTATGTCCCGGACAAAAGTCAAAAAGTAAAAATAACCAAAGGGCAATTACTTCAAAATAAGGCAAGGCAGGGTAATGATTCTTAAGCACTGTATTCCACCCAATGAGACCTATCTATCTACAAAGTTTCATGTTGATATCTCTTATAATTTTAGAGTAATGTCCCGGACAAAGTTCAAAGTGTCAAAATGAACAAAGGGCAATAACTCCAAAAGTAGGCAAGACAGTGTTACAGTTCTTGTGCACTGCAAACTTACTCAATGAGATCTATCTACCTGCAAAGTTTCAAGTTGATATCTCTTATACTTTTAGAGTTATGTCCTGGACAAAGTTCAAAGTGTAAAATAAACAAAGGGGGATAATTCAAAAATTAGGCAAGGCAGAGTTACGGTTCTTGTGCACTGCACACCTACTCAATGAGATCTCTCTACCTACAAAGTTTCATGTTGATACCTATTATAGTTTTAGAGTTATGTCCCGGACAAATTTCAAAGTGTAAAATAAACAAAGGGGGATAATTAAAAAAAATA